ACCGTACCGTTACCAAAACGTGACGTGTAAACTCTGCTGATCACGAATTGGCCGGAGAAAATCGTCACTACCTGCGTCACTGAACTTGCGACATGAGACACAAACAGACCCGCTAGATTTAAATCAGCACAGCCAGCGAAGGATCGAACGCAACTGTTTTGAACGAGTGCACCTTTTTTTAACAACCAAAAAGTGGCTGTTCCCCCTGTTGCGGAAGAACAGACGTTCCTCTCGTTGATAGCAGAGGAGCGGATCCAGCGAGAGCTTGATGGGGCGACGCGGAATGAAAACGTTTTTTTGGAGTCGCGGCAGTAGAGGCGGCGCAACTATAACGACATGTGAATAATCCCGCCCATTCTAAAGCGATACTAAACTGCAGTGGACACGCAAACCGAGCCGAACCGAGCAGTGCCGTACCGAGCCGAGTCGTACCACGCAGTGGAAAAGCGCCATAAGACAGACCAGACAGAACTTTACATTACGCAACTACTGAGCTTTAAATAATGTACGGCAACTGTAAGTAAAGGTGACATTTATTATTGGTTTGCAAATTCTCATAGGCGAAATCCAATCTGAAGTTCCTTGTAAGGGCGTAAAGTCCCAAACACAGAATTCGCAGTGGAAAAAAAGATTTTGCAGTGGTTTGAAAGTGACGTTGTAGTACTCTCGTTAATGATGGTGGAGACTGACTTGGAAGATAAGAAATTGTTGAATAACGTCGTTATTTTTGTTTTCTTTGCACACAAAAAGTATTCTTGTAGCTTCATAAAATTATGGTTGAACCACTGATGTCACATGGACTATTTTAATGATGTCCTTACTACCTTTCTGGGCATTGAACGTGGTAGTTGCGTTGCTGTCTATGAGAGGGTCCAAAAGCGCTCTTAATTTCTGTTCCGAAGATGAACGAAGGTCTTATGGGTTTGGAACGACATGAGGGCGAGTAATTAATGACAGAATTTTCATTTTTGGGTGAACTATCCCTTTAAGTCATTTATAGGTTGATTTTCAATATAAACTGTGGTTGTGTGGTGTTTTCAATATTGCTTTTGTTTGAGTGGCTCAACATTGACCAATGATGTGATTCAGGTCGGGGCAATATGTTTGACCGGACGTCAAACATGTAAGACAGGAGACTGAAGTGTTTTGGAATTTTTGCAGCTCCCCTTGCTGTCACTGGTTGTGCAGAAATCTTTGATTATCTACTTGATCTATGATAGGCCAATGGCAATCGCTTTGATTGCAGTCTTTGCTCATCTAATGGAAATGTGAAAAAATTTCACAATTTCAGAATCAGATCAAACAGGGTACAACTACTGTCGCTTAAAAGTGTGGAAATGTTTTTGTCTTTGTCCAAACAACCAATTGCAGGTTACTTTACTCTAGAACAAGGGTGTCCAATCCTGCTCTTGGAGGACCAGCAAAGTTTTGTCCTGCAAAGTTTAGCTCCAACTAGCTCCAAAACTTTCCAGGAAGTTTCTAGTGAGTCTGAAGACCTTGATTAAACCTTGCAGAACAGTGGCCCTCCAGGAACAGGTTTGGATAACCCGGCTCTAGAATGAGTATTAAGTGGGCTAGCCTGTAAATTTCACCATTGTTTATAGAATTTTTTCTGATTTGAAATATGTTATTCAAGAATAACCTTGACCAACAGTCTTCCCCCATTCAAACAGACAGGAACTGCAATTGAATGACTAGAAATAGTTTCCTGGGTAGTTACAAATATGGCCCCAGAGTAACTGACTTGAGTACTTTGGTGGAAAGTTGTTTACATGGGTATCATAATGTAAATGAGGACCTCACTCCTCTTACAGGATCAGGCCTTTAATGCAAAATACAGTATATAGCCACATAGAAATGAGGATGGAGCTCTGCTTCTGTGAGCCAGATGTTTGTATTGTTTCTGGATGGAGGACACATTTTGCACAGCAGCACTGATGGCCCAAGTTCCTCAGCAGCAGGGAGGCATGTCTGTTTAGAGAAAGAAAGGGCTCTTTTGAGTGGAATCTCCCATCCTCATTGGTGTCTTGTCTTTAAATGTTCATATCCATACTGTTTCATGTATTTGTTTGTTCAGTGGGATCAAAAAGAACATGCATGGTTGCTCTACTGCAGGAGTTCCCAAACAGGCCGTGTGAAAGGTGAGGACCGGGGGCGACAGAGCCCAGGCACACGTCATAACCATAAAGAGAAGATGCAACATTAGAAATAGTCCTCCCAGAGCCTTAGAACTCAAGGCCTTTGAAGAGGATGGGCGAGATAGACTGGATATAAATGGGGAGCAAGAGGGACAGAAGGAACCCAAACAGAAAAAATGCCTTTGTTCTCCATGTCAGACATGACAACACACTGTGGCTACAAAGTCCTGCAGTTTAAACACATGAAACTAATACCAGACTTTCTCGGGGCGATCATGCAAATACCCGACAGCTGACTCAACTAACCACATCCTGCTCCGTCATATCAGAATCCACTGCTGCATCACAGTGATACCACTGCAACTGCATCTGTGACTGCATCTCTGCAGATGCCCTTCATACTGAAATGAAGAGTGACTTCTCTGACCTGATCAACTTATACAAGGAATTCATTGCAAATTAATCTACTAATAAAATCTACTAATTTATGTGTCCTTAATGGCATCAGCACTCAAGCTACATTATGAAACTTGATGATCTTGTTTTCCAGCATCTTGAGCTTTAGTGAAAGCAAGAACATCTGACTGTCTGAGCAAAGAGCCATATGATCAAATGTCACTTAGTGATATAAAAATAAGAAATATATCTTACATCATAATGTTTCTTTGATTCAATTTTGAAAATTCTAAAACATAATTTGGAGGTTTACAGGCTGCTTACAGTAGATGCCATTTATCATTGAGATTCTATTATATTTTTTATTCATATTTTGAACCAGAATTTACGTTTATATTTTTCATTCTCATTTTAGCAAATTTTTTTATTAATTTTGTTGTGTTAGTGTTCATTTTAGTATTTGTTTTTATGTCCGTTTTCACAATTTTTTATTTCAACTTTAATTTGAATGATTTTTTAGTACATAAAGTTAAACTACATTAACATGAGGTATGTTGCATTGGCAAATAGCCAAATAAAAAGTTTTATAATATTTGTATCTAAGTTAACATTTATTAAAAAAAAAAAAAACATTTAAATTTTAGTTTCAGTTTACTATAATAACTTTGCACTTCCCCAATGCTCAGAAAAAAAGCAGCGATTATATGCACTTTATATATAATCACTATAACCATGCCACTGACCATTTCACATTAAACATAATAGCAGCATGAGTAGGTAATGCATTTGTTTAATACTTTTCATGCTTGTCACATACAGAAAAGTCCAACATTATAGTTGTATAATAAATTAATTGTGTTGGGTACACTAATACTGCTGATATCAAAACAAGTTTTCAATTGAAACTGCCCACATCTGCAGTCTGCTCTGGGTTATGGTGTTGACATATATACTACATTTGTACAATAGCAGATTTGGCTAACTGCCCAAGAGGAATTTTAATCTAGTGGAGTAGGTCAGTAAGCACTCATTCACCTATGTCTCAAGCAAACGTTAAACTGTTTCACAGCAAACCGACACGAGTCATGAGCAAACTCAAACATGACATGACAGTCTGCTGGAGAATTTCCTTCCTTGACTATTCCAGCTACACTCTTAAAAATAAAGGTGCTTCAAAAGGTTCTTCAAGCGATGCCATAGAAGAACCATTTTTGGTTCCACAAAGAACCATTCAGTCAAAGGTTCTTTAAAGAAGCATCTCTTTCTTACCTTTTTGTAATCTGAAGAACCTTCTTTCACCACAAAGAACCTTTTGTGAAACAGAAAGGTTCTTCAGATGTTAAAGGTTCTTTATGGAACCATTTAGACAAAAAGGTTCTTCTATGGCATCGTGAAGCACCTTTATTTTTAAGAGTGTATGGAAGTCAGGTAACTACACCTGATCAATGATTTTAACTTAATAGAGCATACTAAAGACAAAAGAGTAGTGAAAGCAATTAAAACGGGTATAATAGAAAAACTAGAAGTGTTGTGAATTGTAACACCATCCGTTTAAGCTATTAGAGGGGGTGAAATCACTGTCACACATGACCACCACCCTCCTGAGGTGACAACTAATGAGTTACTTTGTTCAAGGTAATGGATGTTAAATGACAGAACTATATCATTTGAATCAGCAAGTTTGTGTAGGCTATTTACAATATAACCAAAATCGGTTAAAAAAAAGAAAAGGAGGGTTGTAACAATCCCCAATGTATTTCTACTGGAAAGTTTGAGCAGATATAGACCTGCATTTCACAAAATGAAGAGACTGAGCAACAAACAAACTGTTCACATGAAAAGAGGGTGGGGTTAAGTAGGGTCGTGATGGGGATGGCAAATATTTCTGAACATGTACATTTTATAATCACAAAAACTCCCAAACTCAGTTCAAAAAAGAAAGTTTCATTTTAAGAAAAATACTTGAAAAACTATTCGAAAACTATAGAAATAGTTTTAAATAAGCTGCTGCCTAATCTATGTTTAAACACTAAAGATAGCTGCAAAGCACCGAATAAATCACGGAAAAATAAATAAACATGCAGTCTAAACTTAGGTAGAGTGATTTGGAAACTTAGTGGCTATCAGTCATCCTCAAATTCAATGAACAAGTTTAAACCGGCGGAACATAGCCTATTCAACATTTATCTCAAGCTCCCCCCCCCCCCCCCCCCCATCAATAAAAGCTAGTTATAAAATGATTAAGCTAAAAAAAAAACTCCAAGTGAAACGCGACACGCCCGCAGATCGTAACAAAACATTTTGAGCAACATAAACTAAAACAAAGGTTATTGACTATTGAAGCTGCATCTGTAACAAGTGCATAGGAAATAAATATGTGGTTTCAAATTATGAAAGGATATTTGATTGAGAACAAAAAGCACTGTTAAAAACGTTTGTTTTACGTTTACATTTAGGCTACTTTACCTGCATGCGTCGTTGTGGTGCACAGAGAGAGAAGCAGCGGCACTATCGCGCAGACCGCAGTCTCCTTCAGACGCCTCATGTTCAGGACGCGTTACCTCCACTCGAGCGCTTTATCACACAACCAGCAGATTACGACTGAGAAAACCCAGAAGCCATACGCGTAAGAGAGGGAGGCAAGTGCTGCTGCGGTCTGTAGTTGCACAAGATGGAGAGGCTTTTTTTCTCTGAGTATCCTCCTCTCCTCCAAGACCGCTAAGCTCTGTCCCTCTCATTCAGTTTCTGCCTCCTCTCACTCCTTTCCAAACTTTCTCCCCCGTCCCCTCCTCTCCCTCCAGTGATGCGTTTATCTCCTGACTCCGGTGCTAAACGGTGCCTCCAGAGGACACGTGTCAGAAATTGGATGTGTTGTGACGTTGCTGTAATGTATAGGCCTCTATAATGTAGCCTGTAAAATGCATAGAGTACATTATAAACTAGCCTACACTCTTAAAAATAAAGGTGCTTCACGATGCCATAGAATAACCTTTTTGTCTAAATGGTTCCATAAAGAAGCTTTAACATCTGAAGAACCTTTCTGTTTCACAAAAGGTTCTTTGTGGTGAAAGAAGGTTCTTCAGATTACAAAAACGCAAGAAAGAGATGGTTCTTAAAGAACCTTTGACTGAATGGTTCTTTGTGGACCCAAAAATGGTTCTTCTATGGCATCGCTTGAAGAACCTTTTCAAGCACCTTTATTTTTAAGAGTGTAAGCTGATTTACTGGTCTAAGGCTGACCTGAGGACTAGTTGTGGGCACGTTTCAGGTATTCAAAATTAGAGACCTTCTTAAAACCAGCCTAAGCAAGCTAAGATCAATATGTAGGCCTACTCAAAATGTATATTTACAGTGGTGGCCAAAATGATTAGAACACTAGTATTTTCAGCAGCTAAAAAATGGTTTTAAGTCAGTTATTTCTATCTTTTGCTGTCAGTAGGAAATATCAGTTTACATTTGCAAACATTCAGTTTGCCATTAATTGTAATAATCCAGTGAGATTTTTGTTTGCACAAGGACTCTGACAACAGCCAGTGCTCCACACAGAGATCTGATCATCATCCAGTCTGTCTGGAATAACATGAAGAAACAGAACAAACTGAGACAGACTAAATCCAGAAGAACTGTGGCAACGTCTCCAAGATGCTTCAAGAAACCTACCTGCAAAGCTACCTGAAAAACTATGCTCAAGTGCACTGAGGGCAAAAGCTGCTTTAAACGCGAAGGATGTCCACACCAAATGTTTATTTAATTTAGTTAATAGAAGTTAATTGAAAAAGAAAATCTATTCATGACATTATTTTTGACAGCATCCTCATTTAACAGCATTTTTACACAAGTGCCTAAAACTTTTAACAGTACTGTAGCTTTGCAGGTAGGTTTCTTGAAGCATCTTGGAGACGTTGCCACAGTTCTTCTGGATTGAGTCTGTCTCAGTTTGTTCTGTTTCTTCATGTTATTCCAGACAGACTGGATGATGATCAGATCAGATCTCTGTGTGGAGCACTGGCTGTTGTCAGAGTCCTTGTGCAAACTAAAATCTCACTGGATTATTACAATTAATGGCTAAATGAATGTTTGCAAATGTAAACTGATATTTCCTACTGACACACTACAGAAAAACATAGAAATAACTGACATAAAACCATTTTTAGCTGCTGAAAATACTAGTGAAAATACTAGCCATCACTATATGTACGTGTATATGACAAATTTCTGTCATTACTCACTTACTCACCCATAGGTGTCCAAGCCTTGAAATTCTTTGGGGGGGTTTTCTCAGCATGGCATAAACAACTATTTTTTACTCCATGTTTCCTCAAAATTCGGAAGGAAGGAAGAATGGATGGATGGATGGATGAATGAATGAATGAATGAATGAATGAATGAATGAATGAATGAATGAATGAATGAATGAATGAATGAATGAATGAATGAATGAATGAATGAATGAATGAATGAATGAATGAATGAATGAATGAATGAATGAATGAATGAATGAATGAATGAATGAATGAATGAATGAATGAATGAATGAATGAATGAATGAATGAATGAATGAATGAATGAATGAATGA